TGGGGGGGAGATGGATAGACTGGCCATGAATTGGAAAGGGTGGGGTGGGGATGCGGATGGGGAGGTCAGGGGTCTCCCCCCATCCTGCCCTCGTGCCCTCCTTACCCCCCCATGGGGGATTTCAGCCCCGCTTGCCACCAAAAAAACCCTTGCACACACACCCCCGGTATCCCTATAGCAGCGGTGGCGTCGGGGCAGGCCAAGAGGGGGTGGGAGGAGGATCCCCCTCCCCAGGGAGGGCGGCAAGAATGATGCAGGAATGGAGGAGACCTGATAGAGGTGTTTTAGGACCCCCGAGTTTGCGAGAAGTGGGTGAACAATGTATCCCACTCTAGTGCAATCACCTGCCCTGAGGACTAGAAACTCCGGGGTGGGGATTGGAACATTTAGGGCATTGATGGAGAGAAGGCTGCCTCGTTAGTCGCAGTCAGGGGTAGTAGAGCTCTTAGACAATTTCTTTTGTATTACAACTCCCAGAAGCCCCTACCTTCTTGGAATTCTGGGAACTGTAGTCCATCATCTAAAGTTTGTGCTTTAGAATCTGTCTTAGAGATCTTAAGTGGAGAACTGAGCGTTCTAAAATGGTGACACGAAAGAGAAAACGGATCTGCTTTACGGAGCTGTCTGAAGAAAAACGCTACTGATCTTTAACGACACCAGACCTCATTTGTCATCACTCACCATGAGGGCTGCAAGCTTGGCATCTCTTCCGGAACCGGGAAACAAAACCAGCAAGTAGGGAAAAGGCATGCCAACCAGGGTGGATTAAATTTAAATCAAATTGATTTAAATCACAATTTACATTTTTTTTTAAAAAAAACAATTTTTGAGGACTTAAGAAACTGATTTGATAAAATGTACCGTAAATGGTGATTTGAATCAATTCAGTTTTTTTAAAAAAAACAAAAAACCATTGATTTGGATCCACCCTGATCATAACAGCAGGCAGCAAGAACGGTCTTTTTTCCCCGTGAATTGGCCTGGAGAGGTTCCTCTTCCCCTCCAACCCACAAAGACTAAAATCTCTGAATGTTTTCCACAGGACTCTGGGGAGGAGAAGGCAGACTCTCCGTACTTGCTGGCCCGTCGCAAGCTGGAGAACCTCCTGAACAAGAGCATGCGCATCCGCATGACGGACGGGCGCACCCTCGTGGGCTGTTTCTTGTGCACCGACCGGGACTGCAACGTGATCCTGGGTTCAGCCCAAGAGTACCTAAAACCCACTGGTGAGAGCCCATTCCCTCTGCTGCTTGGCATGAATTTCCATCCAATGAGTTACTCGTTTATTTTCAGTACAGTGGTGCCTCGCTTGACGAGGATAATCCGTTCCAGCGAAATCGCTGTAGAGCGAAATCCTCATCAAACGAAATAAAAAAGCCCATTGAAATGCATTGAAAACTGTTCAGTGCGTTCCAATGGGTGAAATACCTCAGCGTCCAGCGAAGATCCTCCATAGGGCAGCCATTTTCTGCTCCCTGTATAGCGAGGAATCCGTCCCAAAACACAGCGGGGAGCCATTTTACACAGCGGACGGCCATTTTGAAGACCCGACAATCAGCTGTTTTGATCGTCGTTAAGCGAAAAACCGATTCCCGAAGCAGGGAACCGGTCATCGTAAAGTGGTTTTTTCCTATGTAAAACCACTGTGTTTATCGTAATAACATTGTTTTGCAATCGTAAAAACCCCATTGTACAGCAAAAAAAAAAAAGTCATGTGGGGTAACCGTCTAGCCTCATAATAGCATCGTTTTGCAATCATAAAAACCCCATCATACAGCAAAAAATGTCATGTGGGGTAACCGTCTAGCAAGGCACCACTGTGTTTACTTAGCACTTCTCTGACCACTAGGACTCCCAATGTGAGGTTTCATGTTTTCTACTGGTTTTTAAAGTCTTTTTATGTTGTGGAATTTTAGATGACTGGGGTTAAATGACTGGGGCAGAAATGGTCTAAGCAATAATTAACAAAGACTGGAGAAGTTAGTTCAGGTCCCAGCATCCTTCAGCTAGCATAACCGTCGTGCAAAAACAACCTTGTGGGATCTCCAGGAATAATAATTTTAGAACGGCAGAGCTGGAAGGGATGCAACGGATCATCGTCTCCGGCCCCTGTCGAGGAGGCATTGCGAGGGATTCAAACTCCCAACCTCTGGCTTTGTAATCAGACCTAAACCATGGAACTGTGAGAAGGCAATTCTCCTTTTTTATTGTTTGAGGAATGAGGGAAGAAGGACGTGTCACGGCAGAACGTTACGGAACTGTGAGCAGACAATTCTCCTTTTTTTATTGTTTGAGGAATGAGAGAAGAAGGACGTGTCACGGCAGAACGTTACGGTTGCTTTGGAGAACCACAGGTTGTTTTGGGGAGAGAATCTCTGTGTTTGGGGAGCAGTGAAACAGGTAGTGTAGGGGGAGTTGAGGAGAGAGAGGGGGCGACTGGATCCTCACCATCTCCTTGTGTGGCCTACAGACTCCTTCTCAGCTGGAGAGCCCCGGGTCCTGGGTCTTGCCATGGTGCCGGGCCACCACATCGTTTCCATTGAGGTGGAACTGGAGAGCCTGACCTCCCTGCAGTACCTCTGACGCTGCGCCAGGGGGCAGCAGGTCTCTCTCTCTCTCTCTCTCTGCCTGCCATCCGGCACAAGAGGCGGCCGGGCAGGGAGCCGAGAGGCCCTGAATGGACTGTCTCCCTTTCTCAGAACTGGAACCCCCCTGGGGGTGTGGGGGTGTGTGCAGGGCTTTGCCAAGTTCACAAGAAGGTACCCGAAGCTGGAGGAGAAAGCCGGACCAGAGGGGCACCACCTCTCCGCTTCCCTGACCTGAGGAGCTGTTTTGTGTTTGTTAAATAAAATGATTTAGAAGAACCCCACTGTTTTGGTGGTGTCGCTTACCCACAGCTGCCGCTGAAGCCCAGCCCTCGCCTGTGCTCTCAAGAGAATCCAAAAGTCTGGATGGATCTCCTCCCATCTTCAGTCTGCAACCCGGGAGGTGGTTTCGGAAGGCCCTTGTGCATGAGTAAAGGGGGCCCTCCTCCTCTCCCTTACCCCAGCCCCCTGTTTTTCCTGCCTGTGCCTCATCGGGTTGTGAGGCCCCCCCTCCAGAGTCTCTATTCCCGGGCCCTTTGTTGCCTGAAGCTGACATCATTCTGTCCCCTCTTTCTCTCGGAACTATCACAGCGTGCTTTAACACTGAGGACTGGTAACATCAATGAAAAGGAAAACTGGAGCGCTCCCCACCTCCCGAGGGCATGGGTCCCATGGTCGTACTGCTCTAACAGTTAGGGAGTTTTTCTTGGTATCCAGGCTACATCTGGCTTCCTGTCGCTTGAGCCTGTTCCTATGCATCCTGCACCCTGGGAGGATCCGGAACAGAAGCTGCCCCTCCTCTTTAGGACGACCTTTCAAGTATTTGACAAGCGCTGTGTTAGAAAGGACACCAAAGCCCTCCTATAATAAGCAGCTACGCTCTGTTTCCAGTATCCAAAATTTCTGGAAGCTGGAGTCGTGTGTGGTGCCGTCCCAGAGCTAGTGATGGCCCTGTGGGGAAAGGCGGGATCCCCTCCAGCCCTTGATCGATAAGATACATGGATTCCATTTACCACCTAGATCCAAACTGTCCCGATGCTGCTGGGAGCGCACCTGCCTTGGCTGACATATTGCTTGCGGTGGGAGGCCAGCCAAGTCCTTCGCTGGGAAGAAACAGGAGGATCTCCTCCCAACAGACCCCTCTGCCTGTTCCAGGAGCTGCGCCCGGTGCAGGAAATGCTATCTATAGATAGGACGGGGGCCTCTCCCCTTTGTCTCACAGGACCCTCTGGGGCCCTGTTATCTTATCCAAGGTTCCTTCCTCCCCAGAACGTAGAATTTCCACAAGCCCCATTTTTCTTTTGGCGCCTGCAGCTGACTCAGTTCTTCCTTATCCTGTTGGGAACAGGATATTCTCCTCTCTGACCCGACAGCAAGAGGGAAAACCTCTCCATCGGTTGTCAGTGTCCTTTCCTGGCAGGGGCCCCTTCCTTTTTGCTACAGGCTAAAAAAAAATTAACTTTGGCCTGCTTTCCCCTAGCTGCCTCTGCCTGGCGGGAAACCATCGCTGGTTGCATCTCCCTCTGGTTGTGCCCGGATGTGGGGGCAGCTGTGCCTGCCAGCCGTTTTCTGATCAAAAACACCCACTTCCAAATTGCCTCCGCAGACCTTCTCGATTAATACCACTTGCAAATTAACTTTTGGGTGTGGGCCACTGTCTTGCCTCTGATGGTTTTGTACAAGCGTCCTCCTTTTCAGAAAAGGATTCTTTGTAAGGATTTCCTTGAAATCGAAAGAAGTATAGTCTCCAAATCGCACAAGTTTCTCTCTATTCAGCGTTAGTAAGGCCTCATCTGGATACTCCCGAGAAGGATGCTGACAAATTGGGACAATTTCAGAGGAAGGCGACCAGGATGGCCAGGGGACTGGAAACCAAGCAAAGACTGAAGGAACTGGGCATGTTTAGCCTCGAGAAAAGAAGACCGAGGGGAAATATAGCACTTTTTAAAGACTTGAAAGGTCGTTATCCAGAGGAGGGCCTTGAGGGATCCGTTTTTCGATCATCTCAGAGTGCAGGACATGTAAGATTGGACTCAAGTTACAAGAAGCCAGATTTGGCCTGAATACCAAGAAAAACGTCCTAACTGTTAGAGCAGTATGGGAATGGAATCCATGATTTCAGGAGGTGGTGAGCACTCCAAAGCTGGAGGCACTCCGGAGAAATTTGGACGGCTAACTATCGGCCGGATCTGCTTCGCTATGGATTCCTGCATCAAGCAGGGGGTTGGACTTGATGGCCTTAAAGGCCCCCCTTCCAACTCCCATTCTTTTATGAGTCTATGAAATTGTCCCCATTTCATGGAAGGGGGGGTGAGAAAGGAGAGGCCCGTGCAGAACAACGGGACTTAAGGGTCCCTCTAATCCTGGCCTCCTCCTGCTAAATCGAGCTCCCGAGTGCCCCAAGGCCAGAGCGTGGATGCTTAAGTGAAGTCCAGGAGTCAGAAATTGTTGGTCCCAGGCTATATGCGACCCAGGGAGGCCGACCATGCACAGTTCCAGGCAAGGCTCCTATACGTTCTAACATGCCAAGTGATTTAGACTTTAGTGGAGTGGCTTGGTTTTTCGACCAGAATGCCGAGACAAACGCAGGGGCCAAATAAGCTGATGGCAGGAACCTCCTTGGTTTCAGCCTGTGAAGCAGGTAAGCCAACCTGGTGCCCGTCGGATGTATAGGAAGAGAGCTTTGAGGAAGGGGGGGGAGAATCTCTTATTTCGGACTCCCTCAGGTGCCGCGGATGGTTTAGTCCAAGAAAACCCACCTTCCCCAGTTCAGGCTAAGACGACAACTCCCATAAGCCTCAGCCAGCATTATGGTCAAATCGTCCCGAGGCCGAGCGGTAGATCCAACCCTGCTTTTGGCCTGCCCGTGGTGTAGGAAAGAGGGATAGCGGGCCATTTCCAGAAGGGCAGCTGGTGGGTGCGGAGCACAGGTTAGGACCTGGGAGGCCTGGGTTCAAATCCCCCAGCCCTTGGCCAGGGAAATTTATCACGTGGAAATACTGCTAGGAAAACCCCTCCTTTAATATCTCCCGTACCTTGAGAACCTTTGTCAGGCTCGCCTAAACAGTGGCGATCTCGCACCCAAAAATAGCGGACAAAGGGCAGAAATGGGGCTTAAGGGTCAATATCCCCCATACCTTGAGAACCCTTGTCACGCTCACCCTAAGTCAGGTGTGGCTTGGAGGCAGGAAACAGCCGCCGCTGCCGCCCTTCGCCCAGGGCCCACAAAACAGTGGCGATCTCGCACCCAAAAATAGCGGACAAAGGGCAGAAATGGGGCTTAAGGGTCCCTGCCACTCACGACTTGGAAAAGTTGCTTTTTTGGTCAGAATTTCCTTGTGGCTCCAGGCGAAGGAGCTTTCGGCTGTACTGAGATTGTCAGAATTTCCTGGAGTTGTGGCTCCAGGCGAAGGAGCTTTCGGCTGTACTGAGATGGCGCTCAGACAGGCAGGGTGCAAAATGGCCATTTCAAACTTGGCATCTTCCTTCGGCACGGAACCAGGTGCGAGGGGGGAAAAAAGCAACACCTCTACATAAAATCTCTTTTCAGAGCTGAACATTTCCGCCAACAGGCATACAGACTCTCGTCTTTGTAACCTAAGGAAGAAGGGGATTCTGCAAGCAACTGTCAAAATGACGACACAGTCAGAAGCCGGGCTTTCCATTTGCAGCCCTTGGCTCGGGACTGAGTGGAGACTGAACTCTTTGGCAGGGTGGGGGGGGGAGACTCTTCACACCGCTGGCTTGGGTTTTGCATCCCTCCCCCGGGCCGCCCTGCTAGGTTGGTCTCTGCCGTCACCCCCTTCCCCATTCAGTGGGGAACAGGAGATTCCCCCCCCCACCCGACACCTGGAAAGAAATGCAGCTTCTCCAGATGAAGTCTCTATATTGAAAGAAATACATGTCAGCTTCGGTTACGTCGGGAAGCAAAGGCACGGCATGAACAGGAATTGGGGGGACGTTGAGGTTTACAAACACGGAAGGAACGTTGCAAGCAGGAAAAGAGCAGAAGACGTCCGTCTGTGTGTCCGTTTGCCTGTCAGGCGGGAAAGGCAAAGCGTGCCATGGAACCACCGTTGGCACACACGCTCACCACCCCCCGGAGCTGTTTCTGTGGCTTGACTGTATTTCCATTGGTGGTGGTGTGTCCTTTTCAGCTTCCGGAAGTGTCCAGAAGTGTCCATCTTTGTGATAAAATAGGGTGGAAGGCCCTCCCTCGCCTCCAAACCTATGTTCCCAAAATGACATCTGAAGTCAACAGCAGTATCCATTTTTGATGGATCTCTTCTTTTCTTTTCTTTTCTTGCTAATTTCAGCTGCTGGTGCAGCCACTGCTGCTTTTAGGGCAGGACAATTACCCCCACCTCAGATCCTCTAAAGTTGCCCACCTGGCTGTTCATGTAGCAGGGAGTTTCCTAGGCAGGTGACTGGGTAGACAGAATTCCACCCTCCCCCCCGAACACACACACCTTCTTAGTTAAAGTATATCTGGGCAAAAAAAAAAGTTTAAAAAGTGCAGCGGCATTTTAAAGATTAATTGTTATATTTTGGTATGAGCTTTTGCGGATACATTCACCTTCAGACTAGAGGGAAGCAAAACCACAGATTATACGCAGGGTTAGCGAGGTATCGGATAGCACTCTTCACCTCCTGTTCCTTCTCTGCATGTAACTTGAGGGCTTGCTTCCCCGTCTGCAATCATAGAGTCATAGAATAAAACAGTGAGAAGGGGGCTTTTAAGGCCATCCAGTCCAACCCCCGTGCTCAAGGCAGGAATCCAAATCAAAGCAGATCAGATAGAGGGTTGTCTAAGTTTCTCTTGAAGGCCTCTCCAAGTGCTGAAGCGCTCAACACCTCCTGAGGTCATGGGTTCCATTGTCGTACTGCTCTAACAATAAGTTTTTCCAACCACAATCGGACTTTGATTTAACTTGAGCCCATTGCTGCGTGTCCTGCACTCTGGGATGATCGGGAACAGATCCTGCCCCTCCTCTGTGGGACAGCCTTCCAAGCCTTTGAAAAGCATTATCCTATCTCCCCTTCGTCTTCTTTTCTCAAGGCTAAACAGGCCCGGTTCTTCCTGTCTTTCCTCTTTATAGGGCTTGATCTCCAGGCCCTGATCATTCTCATTGCCTTCCTCTGGACTGGTTCCAATTTGTCAGCATCCTTCTTGAAGTGTGGTGTCCAGAATTGGACACAATAATCAAGATGGGCCTGAACCAGTGCCCAATAGAGGGGAGCTAGTAACCTTGTGGGATTTGTAGACTTGACTTCTGTTAATGCATCCTAAAATTGCATTGTGAGAATTTTGGAGACTCGACTTCTGTTAATGCATCCTAAAATTGCATTGGCCTTTTTTGCAGCCTCGTCACACTCTTGGCTCACATCAAACCTGTGGCTTGCAGCAGTTCCAAATGAAGAAGCAGGTGTGCCCACTAAAAGCTCTTACTCAAATATAACAATATGTAGGGTGCCGCTCTATTTTTCTGCTTTGGGTTTTTTTTTTGTTTATTTTTGTCTGGAAATAGTTGCCCAGACCATGTGTTCTCTACTGAAAAGCACACCCTCCGAACTTCTCTGGCTGTGTCTTAGCGCCGCAAGGGCTGTCCGTAAGGATTCTGGAAGTCTCCGATGGGATTTGGCATCTTTGTATATGGATCGGTATTGAGCAGCGCATTCTAGGTTGAGCCCGACCTCCTGTTGCACATCTGACAGCCACGAAGGAGCCTTCCGGGGCTGCAAGGACCCGCCAACATTGCTGTGC